GGCCCGTTAATAACGAAACAAGTATATACTCATATGGTCTGACCGTACGCGCATGGTCGAACCATATTATACCCATATGGTCATGACCATACGCGTACAGTGCAAATACTCATATGGTCCGGAACATAGACACTTGTCTATTGTTAACCTCTACAAGACTATCTGGTTTTGTTTTTCGTTAGTTTGGCGTCTCATTGATATATACATAGCGTGTTGTTTTATTAGTAGACACAGTATAAATGTTATATCATAATAAATCACTGAATTTCTATCAACGGATACAACACTTACCGGGCTTATGTTTGTCTCCACTTGATTAAACTGTTTCTGTTTCTTCCTGGCCTTTACTGGATCTATACCAGTCAACTTGACCACACTCTTCACAAATATGTCGGCATTAGCAAAGTAAATAGGGGCTTGGAACTGAATTATTCTAACATTGTCTGGTGCAACAACCTGAAAAAGGGGTAGTCTAGACGATTATGCATTGAATTTGTTGACTTTGTAGGATAGTTTTCATTTTATCAATTTTGCTTTAATGAATGAACGACAACATTTATTCTCCTTACGAATTTCTGTATCTCACAGAATTAAGTTATATCCTGTTCTTTACTTTACAATGATGTTTTGGAATCGCAATTCTGACAGCAAAATGGTGCAAATATGGTTTTAAACGTTTTGTATTATATAAAGTTTTAAAAATATTTATTTGTAATTTCACATGTGGAACAGGATCTGCTACCCTTCCAGAGCACCTGAGATCACCTTGGTTTTAGGTGGGGTTGCTCAGTCTTTAGTTTTTTATGTTATGTTTTGTAGGATGTTGTCTTTTGATCGTTTTTCGTTTTTTGTATTGCCATGACATTGTCAGTTCTTTTCGGACTTTGAATATCCCTTTGGTATCTTCCGTCTCTCAAATACATCGTCACTCTTCCATTTACTCCACATTTTTTATCTCGCTTATGCCGAAAGATGCATATTTTTTTCAACAACTAAATGTCATCTGAATACCAGCTCGTACATGTATATTTCGTAAACATAAGCTATTTAAGAAAACCCACTATGTCATTTTAACTTTTCATTCAAAAGCTATAAATAGAATTTGGAAATAATTTACCTCGATAAGACAGTCCTATACTAAGTTTTCAGTTTCCAAAGCAATACACGTCATATTTACATGTATGCATTGTCAAAAGTGTACGGATGAAATATAAAAAGACGAGTGTGTTCCATCGCCTATGTGTATTTAAAACTGGATGTTAAGCAAACAAACTGTTTGTTTGCTTAACATCCAGTTTAACATCAGTCAATTCTCTGTGTATTTATCATATTAGAAGTGATACTTACGGGATCATATCTTTCTACTGATTTTAACTGATTTGTTTTCCCAACAAATCCTAGTGTATATGACGAAGGACTGAAAATGAATACAACATAGTTTGTTCAAATTCATATCTTCACAAAGTGTGCTTGTGTAATCATACAGCTTGCAGCAAAAAAATAATTCTATATTTCGGCATAATACTTCAAACCTTGAACTTCTTTCTTTGGTCATATTTATAGAATTATCTTTGATCAAATAAAAATAATATATAATGTCAGAATGCCAAATAATTGTAATAGTTGTCATAACTATAAAAAGAGCTACATTATATTATTGTGCTTACGTATACTATACGGACTGTACAGTCCTATTTTATCTTTATAACTGACCTTTGTGTTCGTAATGATACAGTCAATAGAGAAAATATCAGACTTGAAGCTATGCCAATATCTACATCAAGAATGGATGAGGTCAGAAAGGTCACCATCCATATAACCTGCAGAAAAAAAGGTTTACAATAAAAACGTTTAGTATCTCATTCTCAACTACCCACCAGAGGCCACTTTTCAATGTCATTCAATTAGCTATGATTTATTTCCTATTCCAACATGCAGAGCTATAAGTTTTTACTCAAATCTATACTTGACTTGGATATTTTTATTCACAGTCATGAGTTTGGCTGTATACCCTCAATCTTACATGTAATTAATGGATTATAGTTTGTTGCAATAATACAACTAACATTGATGGACGTGTAAAATCCTCAAGACTTTCATTTGTTATTCATTATGATAGACTTTGCAGTTACAAGACTATAATATTTCTTTATACACACCATTCTCCACATACCCTCCCTAATAGAGAAACTCGTGGCTAGATAGAAAATTTAAACACAAAAAAAATCTTAATGTAATAGCCATCTTCACGTGTATATTAACCTTCATGTTGTTCTCTAGACGTATAAACACACTTGAACCTGTTACGTTTGTTAAAGTTCAAATATCCTTGCCCGCATTAAAACTTTATATCACTGAATTCCGATTTTTTTTAAAACCACGACATGTACATCTGAGTTCATCTCTGGTTAAGTTAGATTTGTTTCTGAATACTTATCTTCTCTGTGTAGTATTCTTGGATTTCCATTAAAAACATCACTACTTCTGTTTGACATTGTCTTTACATTTGTCTCTTTTGTTTAGTCTATACTGTGTTCCTATTCATTTAACTCACAAACAATGTATTTGAATTAGCTGTACTTAAATTCTGATAATACAGATATTTTTTGGTTTGTGCAATATATACGATTGATTGATAGTTGTTGTTTGTTTACCTACCAGTTGCAAATGTTTTACATATATTCTAGATGAGAACACATTAACAGTAAATTAAATATGAAGGTTCTACATGAACACTTAGATTGTCACTTGAAAAAGATTGTATTTGTGATAAGGGCTGACATTGACCCTTGTGACAGGCCATATATAAACCCCTCAGAGAGTTCTTGCAAAGTTTCCTTAAGATTCATAGAACACTATATAAATATATTACAATTAACGTACCCATTCTTACCGGACGTGAATGCACATTTACACATCTGCATATATACATGTAGCTAAACGAACGTGTATGAGTATTTATACATCCTGCATAGCTAAACGAACGACACTGTTTATCATGGATTTTACTGCTGGACAAGAGTATACTTTTATAACAGTATCGTTTGGTTTCTATTATATTTGAAAGAGAGGCGGAAGATACCAAAGCGATATTCAAAATCACAGGTCGATAAAAAACTGACAACGCCTTGGCAAAAAAAAAACAAAGAATGTGTCCATAGTACACGGATGCCCCACTCGCACTATCATTTTCTATGTTCAGTGGACCATGATATTGGGGTAAAAACTCTAATTTGGCATTAACATATAAAAGATCATATCATAGGGCACATGTGTACTAAGTTTCAAGTTGATTGGACTTCAACTTCATCAAAAACTACCTTGACCAAAAACTTTAACCAAAAACATTAACCTGTAGCGTGACAGACGGACGGACGGACGGACGGACGGACGCACTGACCGAAAACATAATGCCCCCAAGTGGGGCATGAAAACGACCAAAGGACAAACAACATTATACAAAACACAACTTGGCAAAACAAAACCCACCAAATGTTAGGGGTGATATCAGGACTGAGGTGCTCCAGAAAGGTAAACAGATCATCCTGCTCCATATTTGGCACCCGTCGAGTTCATCATGAAAGAGCAAACTCAGTGATATCTACTTCGGTGATGTCACATTCGAGGGAAAAAGAAGCGGGATTGTTGTAACAATTGGAATATTTGACTTGACTATTCTTATATTAGAGTCTTAAACATTTCGTATACACGTTTTAGTTTCTACTTACAAAATCAAACTTTGATGTGCGCCACAGTGATGGTACCTCTAATATTTGAAGATACATCGTTCGTAGGTTTATAATTATTACTGCTGACAAAACACACTGTAAAATGAACTCTCATTTTTTTACAAAATTAATAAAAACTTCGGATTTAGGTTTTCCATTCCTTTTTGTAAACCCTAACAATACTATTAGTAACGTACGTATGGTGTAGTTTATTTGTTTGTCTGATTCTAATAAAATATTATCATAAATAAATGAGGAAAGAAAAATGATTTCAAGTTTAAAATATTGAAATGAACAAAATTAAATATAAACTATAATAGTTTCTCTAAAGTATAAAAGACAGTTAAGAAAGTTAAAATATAATAGAAGTTAAAAACAATAAAATGACTGTGTAATGTTTTCAAGATAAGTGACGACCTTGCTAGAAAAAAAGACTTAATCCAGAAATTAATGTATTACTTATAATAAGCATCCTACCTTTGGTAATGAGTAAAACAATGGTCCAATTGCTAATATCATGATTATGACAATAACACATCCCACTAAACAGGCGATCTATAAAATATTATCTAGAAATTATTTTTGCAATGAAAGATACGCTTTTGGCTACATATCTTTTTGATACTCAATATTGATTTTTATTCAAATCATGCACATTTAGTTATTACTATATGGAAACAAATGTTAATTATATCTGTATATAAATTGCAACGTGGATAGCAAAATACATGTAAAAGCGTTTATTAATACGTGCACATAAATGAATGATGGTATCATAAATGTCTTTTCCTCTACGAAATTAATCAACAATAATTTAATAAAGTTGTATAGATTTGAATAATATACCTTATCTAAAGCTGTCTAATTCGTTAAACTCTAACAATACATATTGTTAAAATCAACTATTTAATATTTCTTATCCGGAAACTTAGCATTGGTAAAAGTGTTCCAAAGAACGCGCAGTATGCAGCCCGAGTTTCTCTTGTAAAGGCGGGTAACATGAATTGAGTTTAATATACTAGGATAAAAGAGAGTCAATGTCCTCACCACTATGAAGCACTATTCTTATCCTCCCCAGTTGTCAGGAGATAAGTATGTTAAAGTCTATGAAGGCCCTTAAATTCCCTAACATCGAGGGAAACGTATATATAGCGTAAAACTAATTGTTAGAACATTTTAAAGTATGTTAAAAAATAATGGTCAGGTGCTAAGAAAGATTTTGTTGATGTGACTACTATAATGTACTTCTACATTAGATTTGAACAATCCATACTAAATTCCAAAGAAAGAAATATCATTGTGTAAGTGTACCTGTGATTTACCGTTCGTACCATCTAGTACCATAGTTCTTGATAATGACCCAGCATTGATGTATCCAGAGAAAATTGAACATACAACGCTCCCTGCTCCACTTGCAACCAACTCCTATTGAAATAATTATGTGTCACTTAACTTTCTCAATATCTGTAATTTATTAGCTTTTTTAGTATAAATGAACAAATTTACTGATAATTAAGTATCATTACAAACACTATTTTCATAATTTCGAATCATTATATTCTAAACAGGTAAGTAACTGCCTTCAATGCTTAAAATTTTATGAAGCGGAAGTTTATGAAATTTATAAATTTCAGTGTTAATTTTCAGTATTAATTCGTTGCAAATACAATGAATCGCATGCGAGTGTCTCATACTCATTCCCCAGTATGTGTGGTACATTGTAGATTTAGACATGTTGTTTTTAAATTACTAAGCTGTAGCAGGAACGGGCACAAGATAAAGAGGTTTTTGAAGGTCATAGAAGACTAGTTTTTTCATTTTGTTACAGATCAATTGTTTGGAGGAAAAACATGTCCGTCTGGTGTCTTCTTTGATTTTGATTGGCCATCATTCAAAACGTCATCTGTCTCTGGAATAATACTATACCAATTTGATTAAAATACAGATCTATCGGAACTCGCTTACTTGTCGAATGATAAAACAAATACATTTTCTATGTTCGTGATCCAGACTCAAATGAGCGACTAAAACCTACCTGATTAGGATCAATTTCATAATTATGTTTCCTGGCCAGAAGTCTAGCGCCAGATACCGAATGGGTGAAGGCCACGATTCCTATAATGAAGGCGTCAGCTACATACCCTGTAGCCAAAACAGGGTTAGGTAAAACTGGTGATGGCAACCTGAAATATTCACATGGTCCAGATTGTTTAAATTAGGCATTTGTAGTCAGCATAAAACTAAGGTACATATCTTTTTAAGCTATTTTTTAATAACTTATTAAGTAATTTTGGAATTCATTAATTATATATAAGAAGATGTGGTATGAGTGCATATGAGACAACTCTCCATCCAAGTCAAAATTTATAAAAGTAAACCATTATATAGGTCAAAGTACGGTCTTCAACACGGAACCTTGGCTCACACCGAAAAGCAAGCTACACATGTATAAAAAACGAGAAACGAGAAACACTTATGAACCACATCAACAAACGACAACTACTGAACCTCAGATTCCTGACTTAGGACAGGTGCAAACAATTAAGTACATTTTGATATTTTTTAATGTGCTTTTATTTTCAAATAAAGATTAAAATTTCTGAAGATTACCATGGATATTATACTAAAACTCAGTGGAGAGATGTTTATTTACATAGTTCTTGTCCTTTTTACTTTAATTTCAAATATAATGTATTGACCAAAACAGTTTAGAAGTTATTTACAATAATGATACAAAGTAATAAAATAAATATTTATATTATCGCCAATTTGTATCGTATTGGCTAAATACTACTATTCATTCTAAAATTGATAAGCAGGGATACAGTTTGCACTACCTTGGTGTGTTTTGCATTGCACCCTTGGTGATTTCAGGTGTTCCGGCAGGATAATTAGATCATGTTCCACTTGTTGCACCTGTCATGTTGCCGAGTCGTGTTAATAAGATGAAAAATTAAAGTAATGACTGATTTGAAATCGATCTTCTTTTTTACTCTAGTCCCGAATGGTAAGCCGCCCGACGATAGCATGCTAAACAAACTGTACATTACCCTGCTGGGATGTCTTTTAAAATGTTGATGTTAAACTTCTGATGGAACTTGGCAAAATGAGCTATGACAGTTGCAATGGAAATCTTTAAAAGAAGAACCATTTATAATTATACTATCTTAATTGTTTATTCATTTTTATTTGATACAAAACTAAAGGTTCAAACCTCATATTGAGAGAAAATATAAGTGCTTTGAAGTACATGGATCATGTTTTGATTTAAGAAAATCCTTCAGATTTGTTTTGTGTCGTTGGGTTGCAGTCTAATCAATATATACCCACCATATATGTTTATTCATACATTAGTGTAATTGTATGTTAACATATGATTTAAAGTAGCTGTAAAACATCTGACTTTCTTAAATTCACCGATGATGCATTCATTTGTTAACTGTGCGACTCAGCATTATATAACCAATAGAGTGGTTAATGTTAATTATTATTAATTTAACTAAATACAATTGATTCAATTATTCCATCTTCTGTTATACTTACAATGATGAGTTCTATAGGAATGGGCATCTTCAGTTTGGCCTTAAATCTCATATTAATTTGAACTTTAACGAGGTAAAGAATGATAAAACAAATCACAGTGGTAATGAGTGTGGCGAAGTTAGTGGATGGTATGTTGTAACAAACATCTCTCCAGGTCTGAAAAATAGGATATAATAAAGTACAGGTAATTACATTGATCATTAAATAGTTTGATTTAAAATTCTGTTTCATTGTTATTTCCAGATTAATACGTATTATGTGGAACGGGGACCAAATTTTCCCCCATTACTTCAATGAAATTTTATCCAAATTGAGGGGAAGATTTTTTATTCCCTATATTAGACTGCAAAATTTAAATTACTTTCTCATACTTCATGGCTTATGGGAGAATTTTTGGAAGGTCATGACCGGCATTTAAGAGAGCAGTACTGTTTTGAGTATTAATAGGGTCATTTTATTAACTTCCTGATTAAAGTCGAAAATAAAATTTGGACCATTTACTCAGACAATCGTCCACCCTATACATTTCAGAATCACTGAAAATTTAACAGAAGTTGAAAGTTTAATGAATACCCTTTATCATGTTTATATATACTACAAATTTAAGCATCTTTACATATTTTTCATCTCGGTACAATATCCCATTTAAAAGATGGTAGATTTATTAAGAGACTTCATTCGTGGGTACTGGACTGGTATCCTGTAACTGGGATCCTATTCCATGTATACGCAGCTTGAATACAACACTGAAAGGTATATAATAATGATCTGTCGTAACCAGAATCCCTTTCGCTTTTCATCGGTTGTGACATTACCGATTAAAACTTCTACCAGATTTTAACGTGCATGCGGGTGTCACTTATGGGGAAGGAACTGTTTTCCTTCCCAACATCCCAAGGGTTTGTGTTGCTAAATCTTTTAAACTTTTCTTCGTAATGATTTGTAATTGTTGTTTGTATTTTCCTCATTTTTCTTTGGTCATTGTATTGTCTGTTTCTATTGGTCATTGTATTATCTGTTTTTATTGGTCATTGTATTATCTGTTTTTATTGGTCATTGTATTATCTGTTTTTATTGGTCATTGTATTATCTGTTTTTATTGGTCATTGTATTATCTGTTTTTATTGGAATTATGGTTTTTGATTGCCCCTTGTTTTCACTGCTCAAACCCGAAGAAAAATGGACAAGGTTGAGTTATGCGTATAATATGTATATGAATGTCCTCGCTTTTCCGTGCAAAGCAGGTTATATATTTAAGCGAAACTTGTGATCTTTATCTAATCCTTATATAATTTTCCTTATATAATCGACAAAAAAATCAGTTTTAATGCTACAGGCATGAAGAAAAAATAACTTAGAATAAGAGCGGTATTCATAAGAACGAACCGACGGACATGGGTGACACTACAATGACGACCCATTAAAGGGGCATTAGCTGTAAAATTCATGTTCACCAATTTGACTCAAATTCTCATATTTTATTTATAACATACTAAAAAGTAAAATAACAAAAATACCGAACTCCAAGTAAAATTCAAATCGGAAAGTCTCTTATAAAATGGCAATTTCAAAAGATCAAACACATCAAACGAATGGAAAACAACTGTCATATTCCTGACTTGGTACAGGCATTTCCTTATGTAGAAAATGGTGGATTAAACCTGGTTTTATAGCTAGCTAACCTCCCACTTGTATGACAGTCGCATAAAATTCCATTATATTGAGAACAATGTGTGAACAAAACAAACAGACATAATAGGTAAAAATGTCAAAAATAGGGGTACAGCAGTCAACATTGTGTTATAATCTTAATCACTATAAAAAAACAAATATGCTAACAAAGAAAAACAAAATGGCATATAGACATAGCACAAAAGCAAAAATGAAAGACAAAAATACAAAAAATATAAAACGTATATCCAAATTACAATAAGTCTGAAATAAACAATTAACAATGTATGGACTCGATAATTTATATCAGCATTTCGTGTGTATTTTAGTATAGACGCCATCTAATTAACAATCGAGATGACCTCCAAAAACTGCCGACGAATACATAACCCGATATAAACATAAACATAAATATAAATAGATAGCGCCCTCGTGCACTTGAACTTTTCTAGGTCTGTTTGATTTCATGATATAGGTTAAAAAATAAGTTAATCATCGTTTTCACCTGCATAAGAATGATTTGTTGTGGATCGAATCAGTCAACGAAATGGTTCACCTTTAATTGTTTCACTTTCAATGTTGACAATCTTTTACTTTTAATGGCTGAACACGACTAATACATACGTAACCAATCTCTAACTAATGGGTTGAATTAAAGGTCACATGAATACGGATTCGAATTATTCCCTTGCAAGTGAATCATTCATCAGCGATGTTTCTTAGCTTATTTTGAGAAAATTGAACTAAACTGGCTGCTTAAAGCGAATTATTATTTCACTATTTCACTTTCATTTATCATGTTAATTATTGATCAAAAAACAAAATCATATTTTATTTTTTTTATATCTCGTAGCTATTGCCCCCCTTTAACTGAGCTGTATGGGCATGAAAAGGTATTAAATTTTGGAACCCTACCTTTATCACCTTGAATATGCCATTATGTTGAGGCACAGAGATGCCAAAAATATGTTTTGCCTGACTCGTTGTGATGTGTATTGCCACTGCTGCCGTAAATCCACTAACCAACTGCTCGGACATGTAAGTCGAGATCAACCCAAACTTTAATTTACCCAATAAAATCTGAAAAAAATAATATTTGAATACTGGTATACATTTGATTTCATTTGATTTTTTTTATGTAGCAGAACAATTTTCACATTCTTGTATTAACTGAATAAATCAACAGTTGCTTTATATGCAATAATTCACCAATATAAAAATAAGGAGATTTGGTATGATTGCCAATGTGACAACTATCCACCAAAGTTCAAATAAAGAGGATGTAAGCAATTATAGGCAACCGTACGGCCTTTAACAATGATAAAAACCCATACCGTATAGTCGGATATAAAAGGCACCGACATGAAAAATATGAAACAATTCAATTGAGAAGACTAACGGCCTAATTTATAACGTAACAATTTACGAAAAACACATTATTTAACTGGTTAGATATAAAAGGTATTATTATAAAGTGCATATAAACATATAAACAGTAAAAGGTGTAAGTTATGTTGTGTGTACTATTATTTGTCTGACTTTTCTTCGTTTTTCGTTTTTTGCCATGGCATTGTCAGTTTGTTTTCGCCTTATGAGTTGAATATCACTTTGGTATCATTCGCCTCTCTTTTAAGTAAATAACGTTAAGTAAAAGTAATAAACATCATATTGTTACCATGATTAGCCCAGACACGAATGATACTGACGTAGCTATCTCTATTTTTCGTTTATTAATAATCTCATCTGTTGAAGTATTTGTTGAGTTTTCTGTGATTACATACAGATTGTTTTCTTGCATTGCAACATCAATCACTGAAGCCATCATCAGACTAACTACAGCTACTGCCCCTAATAACAAAATAAATTACATTTATCACCATCAAACTGGCTCCGACTACTGCCCCTAATAACAAAATAAATTACATTTATCACCATCAAACTTGCTCCGACTACTGCACATTATAACAAAATTAATCACATATGTCAGCATCAAACTAAATCCAGTTACTGCACAGAATAACATAATTTATTTCATACATATATATCAACATCAATCTGGCTGTAGCTACTGCACCCAAAGACAAAAAAAAACTCAAAATACTCCGGCTACTGCACATTAACACAGTATTGATAACATATATGAACACCACTCTTGACTCCGGCTACTGCTAATTGTTATCTCAATTAACTGCCGCTATTGCAACACAAATTTTACCGACTGATTAAGACTGACTATATGTATCGATCTTAGCATTTCAATAATAGTTATTAATAGCTATATGCAAATCTCATACCTGAATTTTTAAGGAATCTCCAAAAATTTATTCCAGAAAGAAATATTATTGTTAAAGTTTGACTTCCGTCTGACAGTCAAGCGCATGCAGAAAGCGGATTCATTAAATCGATTATACGGGATGCATATATACGCAGAAAAGTTCTAATGTGTAACTGTTAAATATGATTGCCCTTACCTACAGAGAGATGTCTTGATGATCCGAAGAAAAAGTATGTCAAAGGACCAAAGAAGGCAGTGTACATTCCACATATCGGTGGCAATGTTGTCAACAAACCAAATGCCATGCCTGAAATAAATAGAAGGCAGTGTACAATCCACATACCGGTGGCAGTGTTATCAACAAACCAAATGCCATGCCTGTAATAAAAAGAGAAGGCAGTGTACAATCCACATACCGGTGGCAGTGTTATCAACAAACCGAATGCCATGCCTGTAATGTCATACCTGTAGTATAAAGAGAAGGCAGTGAACATTCCACATATCGGTGGCAGTGTTATCGACAAACCAAATACCATGCCTGTAATAAAAAAAGGAAGACAGTGTACATTCCACATATCGGTGGCAGTGTTATCACCAAACCGAATGCCATGTCTGTAATAAAAAAAAGACGGCATTGTACATTCCACATATCGGTGGCAATGTTATCAACAAACCAAATACCATGCCTGTAATAAAAAATGGAAGACAGTGTACATTCCACATATCGGTGGCAGTGTTGTCAACAAACCAAATACCATGCCTGTAATAAAAAGGAAGACAGTGTACATTCCTTATATCGATGGCAGTGTTTTCAACAATCCAAAGCCGGGTCACGCCTGAAATAGTACAATGTTATTAACTTTCATATTTTACATTGTAGAAAGAGCAATAAGGTCATTCTGTATGTTGTGGTTTACAACTAACACAGGCTTTAAAGTCTAGATTTAATTGCATTTTAAAAACATAAAAGACAAGTTTGTTTTAATGGGTGAATTTCCAACAGCTTGTTAAAACATTTATTAATCTCCATAATTTATCAGCATCAGTTATTGATCATTTTGATTTAAAGTGGCCGAGTAGCTCGGACGTAATATTGTATTATACATCAAACAAAGATATAATATTTGACAGGGACATAAGCAGGCGGCGAGTGTCTCTATTTAACATTCTATAATGAAGACTAAATTTTGTAAAAGACGTCATAAATAATTGAAAAAAAAAAACAATTTTTACTTTCTGTATTGTTGAATTTGTATTTACTGATTTATTCGACGTGTATTAGTTACCATCGTTTGGCGTCCGTTGTCTGTTTACAGTTAAACATTAAAGTAAAGAGCACCCATGGACATACGGTCTTTGTATAACAAATTTCGATGCTTGACTTTAGCATTATAAGCCATAATATATAATTATAAAGAGACGAAATGCACCAAAAAAAATTTCAAAATTGTACCCTAGTAGATATTTCGTGACACATTATTAGTATCAATATTGTGCCTAAAATCATATATATGCATCTAGTCTAAAGAAGAAACATAAAATCTCTAAATTTCGCTTTATTAAGGAACATTACCTTCGAACAACAAAGCTGATATATTTCAAATTAAAAGTCGATTTTGTTTAGAATATATATGAAGTGTTCAAAATAGAAATAAGAAGATGTGGTATGAGTGCCAATGAGACAACTCTCCATCCAAATCACAACGTGTAAAAAATATTTAAAAAGTATTGTTTAATTATATAATTTTAAACATTAATGTTTTGCTATCAGGCGAGTATCCGTTAGGCATAACTCTGGAACAGCAAATTTGGCAAATGTCTAACGTTAAATTTTAGTTTGACTGTTATTTTGTATACTGTACCCAAAATAAATAACAAATTTGATGTCAAAGAATGATATTCAAGAAACACGTTTTTTGCGCATAGTGGTCAAATACATGTAATTGCTCACTACCACCTAGTCGACACCGCTGCTGGTAATCTATTTAAAAGTAAGCAACTGTTTTGTCGATGCATATCAACTGTCAAGATGAAGAACAGGAATAAAAGCCCTGTTCATTGATAATTTTCTATGTTTTCTATGTATTGTGTACGATTTTGTCCCATGTACATTTACTACATATCCTTTCATTTTCTATTGATTCTAGAGTTTGTCTCTAGTGCTGTGTGGAGGCAGTAGAACGTTTCCCCGTGCTTGAGGTGTAATCTCTTATAATATTTACAGTTATGGTGTGCTTGTTCATGTGAGAATTTCTCATATCAATACACCGTCAAAATTTCATGTTTGGTTAAATTTCTTCAAAATACTGTTCTGGTCATCTGTTTTGTATATTGCCCTTTCATACTATTTCAAATTGCTAGGTTTTCTTACATATATTTCGATGTGCCCCGTGCTGTCTATCATTTGTTTTTTTTAGTTTTATATGTATTGTCTATAATTTGTTGTTTCGAAATTATTGGTCTTTTGTTGGGCAATGTATGACAAATATATGATGAAAAACCTCGCCCGTAATTATAAATTATGTAATTCATTGACCGCTCCTGACATGTGTAACACCAAGGCATATTTTAGCGGCGATCGATGTCTTTCAAAATTAATTCACTGCACTTTTCTTGTATCCCTGGTGCTTTCGACTGGAGAACCGTCGTACACAAGCATCGCACAAGTTGGCACTCCTGGCGGGTGGGGAGCAAGAAGGTGAACTATGGTTTATTTTTATCAATAGTACCGCTTAAGTCGACGCTAGGGGCCGTCTTGACATTGTTGTAGGGTATGAATTATTCGTTCATTGTTGAAGACCCTACATCAACTGTCAAGATCAAGAACAGGAATAAAAGCCCTGTTCATTGATAATTTTCTATTTTTTCTATGTATTGTGTGCGATTTTGTCCCATGTACATTTACTCCATATCCTTTCATTTTCTATATAAAGTGGATGGCCAAAAGTTATATTCGTACAAAGTGTAATTATAAATAAGAAGATGTGGTATGAGTGCCAATGAGACAACTCTCCATCCAAGTCACAATGTATAAAAAGTTAACAATTATAGGTCAAAGTACGGCCTTCAACATGGAGCCTTGGCTCACACCGAACAGCAAGCTATAAAGGGCCCCAAAATGACTAGTGTAAAACAATTCAAACAGGAAAACCAACGGTCCAATCTATATAAAAAACGAGAAACACTTATGAACCACGCCAACAAACGACAACCACTGAACAACAGGCTCCTGACTTAGGACAGGTGCATAAAAATGCATCGGGTTTAAACTTTTAACAGGCGCCAACCCTCACCCTAACCTGAGACAGTAGTGTAACATTACAACATAATAAGATTTCCATCATGTTAATTTGCTCGTGCAACTTTTAAAAAGAGGCAAACAAACACGAGATCATACTTTCTTTTTTCCTTGATCATGCATCTATTCCTTCCCTCCTTTACGACCCAAAATATACAACATACATGTAATACCGTTTCTGTACAATGTGGTTAACTGACATACCTTGAGGTATCTGCATGATGCCGACTGTAATTCCAGAGAGAATATCACTCACTAAGTATTTCCGTAAGTTATATTTTCTTAGGTTCCGTATTATAGGCACATTAGAAAACAAACATGACTTCACGTAATTTATTGATGAGTATTTCTTAGCATATTTTTTAATTCTGTCGCAAATCTTTTCGTCTGTTTTCTGTTTATAATATTTAGCATTAAAATCTACAACTCTGTGTAACCCGGTGTCTTCATTTGCTGTTATTTCCAGGATTTCTGTTTCAGGCTCTGCCATTATGTCAGTGCATAAAAATTATGTAGTTTAGATCTCCACGTGTTTTATACACAATAATCCATACACACATCAACGCACATCAACACACAAGTGTTTTGGATCAGTAATCTGCTAAAAATACAATTTAAATGTCGTGAATGTGTAGTATGTGAAACGTCGTTCTTGCAGTGTCAGTTGTTTTGTCAGAGATATATTGCAGATATTGAATTCGTTTATAGTTCGGTCTAATTAATGCACCAAACGCATTTGTTTTGTTTCACTCATTTGTTTATAAAGCCATGAAAGCATATCATATTTAAAAGAGGTAAGAATCTAATATCTTTATTTACTTATTGACAATATATTACTTCTATTTCGTCCAGGGATATGAAGAAATAGTTAATTACCCTTTTGTTTGTAATATTGAGAGGCTTTTTATCGGGTGTTACAATGTACTTGTACATGTAAATCTACTTGGAGTTTTTCATAATTTTGATATAACCTAATTAAGGTCTTTCCTTTTCCAAAAGGGAAAGACCTTACTGTATTTCTTCTTCTGATTATTATTATTATTATTATTATTATTATTCTTTTTGTTCCGCCAAACTTTGACAAAATTTCCCTCCGTAACCGTAAGCCATGTTGCTTTCAGGTTCACACTATGTATCGGTGTCACAAACACCTATCCGGAACTCACCCTGTGAGTCGTAAAATTTTGTCGGTCCAGAGTTATCCCTCCGAAACCTAAAAACCTTGTTATCATTCAAACACCGTAACCGTAATAGGTAGAAAAAAAGCAAAGGGTGAAATTTGTTCAGGACCAGACCCCGGTTCTTCGTTACATTTGGATCGAAAAGATTCAACGACTCATTGGTAGGGTTATGCCCTTTGAAAATTAACCGGTGTCGGTTGGCCACCAAAACTCAGAAACCGTAAGTCGTAGCCACCTAGGATCTTCACCAATGATCATCAATTCATGTGACTTTGAAAATGCCTCAAGGTCAAATTTGTATGTCGACCTTGACCTTTGACCTTACACCTTGTTATGGGATAATCTCAGAAACCATTATACTTACAGAAGTTTTGAATAGTGGAAAATGTTTGGGTCATTAAGGCGCAACTTTGTTACATTTTGACCGAAGAGATTTGACCTTTCTGTAAGGGGCATAACCCCTGTTTTAGGTTTATGAAAAAACAAAATCAGCTTTTACTATATAACCAAAGGTCCTAGATCCATGGGGACTTCAACAATGACATTTGGGACCAATGACCTTGACAAAGGTCACAAGGTCAAAGGTCAAGGTCATGTCCCAGAGAGCGAATTATGTGTTTTTGACCTTATTTAAGGGATTTTTAGTGTCTTTTAAAGCTTTTTAAGGTTGACCTTGACCTTTGACCTTACAACTTTTTATTGGATATCTCAAAAACGGTTAATCTTACAGAAATAGTAAATAGTGAAAAATGTTTGGGTCATAAAGACGCAACTTTTTTACATTTTGACCGAAGAGATTTGAATCTTTCTGTAAGGGGCATTACCCCTATTTTAGGTTTGTGAAAAGACAAAATCAGCTTTTAGTATATAACCAAAGGTCCTAGATCCATCGGGTCTTCAACAATGACATTAGGGACCAATGACCTTGACAAAGGTCACAAGGTCAAAGGTCAAGGCCATGTCCCAGAGAGCGAATTATGTGTTTTTGACCTTATTTAAGGGATTTTTAGTGTCTTTTAAAGCTTTTTAAGGTTGACCTTAACCTTTGACCTTACAGCTTTTTTATTGGATATCTCAAAAACGGTTAATCTTACAGAAATAGTAAATAGTGAAAAATGTTTGGGTCATAAAGTCGCAACTTTTTTTACATTTGATCAAAGAGATTTGACCTTTCTGTAAGGGGCATAACCCCTGTTTTAGGTTTCTGAAAAGGCAATCTCAGCTTTTATTATATAACCAAAGGTCCTAGCCCCATGGGGTCAACAGCAATGACATAAGGGACCAATGACTTTGAGAAAGGTCACAAGGTCAAAGGTCAAGGTCATGTCCCAGAAAGCGAATTAAGTGTTTTTAACCTTATATAAAGGATTTTTAGTGTTTTCAAGCTTTTTAAGTTTGACCTTGACCTTTGACCTTACAACTTTTTATTGGATATCTCAAAAACGATTATACTTAAAAAAAAAAGTAAATAGTGAAAAATGTTTAGGTGACTAAGGCGCAACTTTTTTATATTTGACAGAAGAGATTTTACCTGTCCGTAAGGGGCATAACCCCTATTAACTGTTTCTGAAAAGACAAAATTAGCCTTAACTCTTGAACCAAAGGGTCTAGACCCATGGGGTCTTTTATACTGACATTGTGGACCAAATACCTTGACAAAGGTCAAAAGTCAAGGTCATTTTGCATATAGCGGATTATGTGTTTTTTGTCATATTTTAAGGGTTGTATGTGTTTTTTTTTAGCTTTTCAATGCATTCTACGTCTATTGAAACATATATTTTACATTACGAAAAGGAAAGACCTCTCAATTGTTCAAGAACAATTGACATTTTAATTATATAATGTCATTCTTATTTATTTATTTATTTATTTATTTATTTATTTACAAGTTTTATCGTTTATATAAATATACATTGTTGATTTCCATTGCCTAATGCAATGTAGTCGTACATATACTAATAATTTTGCAGCTTATTTAATAGTTTTAGGTAAATAAATTGAAGAAAACCTACAGTTTCTTATTGGTGCATTCTGAATAAAATTCGGATCTATCATAACTTTCATTCGTATACACCTCTATGTCTTGTATTGTTCTGGATATGTGGTAGAGCTATATTTTTATGTTTTACATTAATTAAGGTTTTATGTTATTAGAATATATACTTGATATATTCTATTTACAGTTATTATAATTTGTAGTCTGCTAGTTTATTCAGGTAGAACATTACCTATTGATTAATTTCTTTTCAATTGTTTTAGGAGGGAATTGTATGATTTAGGAGGGAATCTTTTGTTTAACTTTTCTTTGTTTTGGACAGTTGGCTAAAGTCTTGATATGAAGTGGTAGCCATTTTCTACAGCTCATTTGGAAGTTGTTATATCTTTACTTTTGAAATAGTCTAGGACTATCATATTCTTATATAAGGTCAGTTTATTACTAATATATTCATTACATTAACATTGCAGTTTTTTTATCTAAGAGTGTGTGATATATAAGTGTAGAATTGAATAAGTAGGTGTCAGTATTATGAAAGGTGTAGGATTTAAATTGATTAAGAAGTAAATATATGTGTAAACTATTCACGATAACATATAAAGTAATAAAGGTAAACTTGATAATATAGTTTTATTTGTAAGATTTAGTAAAATATATAAAATCTGCATAAAACTGATAAAAGTATAATCTATACTTAAATTTCTAGTAACAGTAATATATAATCTATTTTAACAGTTTGTATGAGTGAGCGTTAAAAGATTTTATACTTCTATAAAGTTAATACAAGTAAATATTTGATTAACCAGATTTAAGGGGAGATAATTCTGTTTATTCTAATCTAGCAGTATTGCATAAGGTTTTTATAATTTTAATATTTTGTCTTCAGGTATTACATATATTGTAAAGAATGTAAACTGATTCAAACCAATCAGTTGGTGAAGCAAAGACCTTTGCACTACATGTGAGGTATGTTTATATGTATACAGTTTGTAATGTTCATGTTATTTTTATGTTGCTTTGCTTAAATGTATTATCTGCTTTGTGTAACCGTTGCCAATACGTAATGTCTTGTTTGCACTTACAATTGCGTTGTATTATTATGTGTAACTAACTATTTTTGGTATGATACTACAAGCGTAGCTATGTATTTAGCTGTGAACTTAGTCCGTCGTTGCATATTTCACCATGCACGAAATACAGAGAAATATATTATGTAATCATTTAATACAGAATTCGAAATGGTGTAATATCGTTTTGTGTAGCTTGTAAAACTATTATTTTAAAGAGCAAAAGAAATCTACACAGTTTTCTTGTATGCATATAGATATATTGATTTTATAGTAATTGATTATTACCGATTGAATTGTATAAGAATTATATTTGTTATTATTTCAGGGTCACTTTTCACTTAGAATATTTACATCAATTCTGATGAAATAAAAGAACCATAGACCTATACAACGTGTTTGTGTTTTATTTGAATACAAGGTAAACACGACTACAGATATAATATTCAATTTCATGTATGATAGTGTTTTGAACAAAACGATTTGTTACATATACTGCACAAAATAGGTTATCAGCTAAACTTTTATATTCTCATATGCTGTTTATTGATATCTTTAGAATTTTTATGAGCATGTGTTATTTCTTCGAAATTTCACCATGTTCTGTGAAAAAGTTAGGTTTTTATTATGTTTTCCATTAAATTGTTTTTTTTTTTTTTATAGTATCAGCAAATGTAATCTTACTCTCATGCATACGGATTCATTTCATCTCTATGGGTAGCAGATTCTGCTGAACAAATATTTTTGGTTCTAAAAAATATGGGATGCCTATATAAATTGTTCAATACCTTTTGTGGTTGAGATGTTGTTTCATACAATTAACAACTTTCTTTTTTGTATACAGAATATTTTAAAAATGTGTTGGTGGTTAATTAAAAAAAATATGGAAATAGCATCTTCTTCTTTGCATGATGCTGATATGACCTTATAAAGTTCTAGGATGAAGGGTGAAGGTTTGGTACCATTAAAACGTTTAAACCCGCTGCAATTGTTTGCACCTGTCCTAAGTAAGGATTCTGATGTTCAGTAGTTTTCGTTTGTTGATGTGGTTCATAAGTGTTTCTCGTTTTTTATATAGATTAGACCGTTGGTTTTCCCGTTTGAATGGTTTTACACTAGTAATTTTTGGGGCCCTTTATAGCTTGCTGTTCGGTGTGAGCCAAGGCTCCGTGTTGAAGACCGTACTTTGACCTATAATGGTTTACTTTTATAAATTTTGACTTGGATGGAGAGTTGTCTCATTGGCACTCATACCACATCTTCTTATATCTATATTGAACACACCAGCATTTGGACGCTGGCATCTAATATATATATATATATATATAGACTTTGACATACCTTTTGTTTGGATGCTTGCATCCCATAAAAAATAAAATGCTTCGCCGAGCGCAGCCTGTTACAAC